TAGGCTCAGTTACAAGCACACACACACACACACACACACACACACACACACACAAAATTGGGGGGAGGGGGATGATGACTTTAGAAGAGACGTGGCCCAATTGGCTACAGACTTTTCCCTTAGAGCACATGACCCCATGAGACCACCAAAGCACTGTACCTAGTGGCTGGAACATGGGCACTTAAAACATGATGGTTGAGGAGAAAAAGAAATGAAAATTGATGCAGCTGAGATAAAGAAAAGGAATCTTAATTTGGAGGGGAACAAAGTCTCTTTAAAAGGAATATGAAAATTCTAACCTAGGATCTCCTCCACAAATGAAGTATGAAACCTATCAGAAGAAGTGACATCACACCTAGGTCTTCTTGCCGGCTAGTGATAACTGGCTGGGTACTTCAGTCAATGGGAAGGCTGGGAAGCTGGAGGCAAAGGGGCTGGCCTGGGAAGCCAGGAAATTCTCTAGATTGGGGTGAGGATTTGCTGAATGCCGCGTGAGGGTCGAGACAATAACGTTTGTAAGAATTCTAAAAATGCCTGTGTTAGATGGTCAGTATCCATTTTTCAGAAGCTATTAAAACAAACGTATAAAGACATAGCAAGGATTGACCTGGTAAGACGCAGCAAGAGTCCAAATTTCACACATAGTTTCGTCAGCTGCTGAATGATCCCCATTTACAACTCTGAGAGTGGCAGCCACTTCCTCCAGGGCACACTTCATCTGTTTCTGACCCTGCTCTAAATACAATTATGTATCTTTTTTCTAATTGAGCCAGAAAATTAATCTAATTATTTGATTTACTGGATGTATATATTTCAATACGACTTGCATAAACTCATGCTTTGCAAAACATGGTTGGGATAAGTCCAGTCAATGGTAGAGAATGTTTGTGGGTCTGACGGTAGAAAAGGGTGCTGGGGTATTGATCAAGTTGACTGAAGGACTGGAGAAGAAGCTGATGGACTGGTAAAATACTCCTGCTCACTTTATGTCCTTAACTACAATCATCCACTCATTCTAATATGGCTCCTAAGCTGCCATCTTACCTTGAAGCCTCAAACAGCCTTCTAAAGACATATCTTTATATAGCAGATTAATGCAGCTCTCACTCCACATCAGAGGAGTGTCTTTGAGAGACTCACAGCTGGTAAAAGTGAAGAGAACATGTGTCTGCTGAGTGATCAGCTCTAAATGGGGCATCTATATTACACCCCTCCTTCCCAGTCTCCGGGAGCATTGTGGATGAGGGGCAGAAAGATTATAAGACCCAGAGATGGAGAAGACTGGGGTGAAACAATTTTCTTGACATGACAGGACTGCTGTGCTCATGAACTGACAGCTGCTGTGGTTGCCTGCACAATACTTTATAAGAACAAACCAGTTTACATGCCAGTATGGATAGGGGAGGGTCACATGAACCCTTACATCCAGCTAAGGAGCTACTGACCACTGATGTCTTTTAAGGTAGGGAGAGCAGCTTTATTCAGGGCTGTCATTCCTGCTAGGTTGCCCATGCTTCAGTGGATAGCTCCACATCCATGCATACATAGGCAGAACTAATTAGACTCATAGGCTATAAAAAACGGACATAGAGTTGGGAGAAGGATGTGAATATGATCAAAATGCATTGTACACCTATATTAAACCTTCAAAGAACAAATAAAATATTATATTAATAAAAAACAACAAAAATAAATACATGGGTGGTGTCAAAAGTGGGATTTGCTAGCCCAATGTCATTGTGTCTTGATTTTGACAGTGATGTTATAACAACCAGAGATCCAGTAGAGAGCTAATGATGTGTAGGAGGAAACCCCATAGCCTATGGTGTGAGGTTACTGGTGTTCTGAGGGAGACGTTCAGGGGTAGGGTGGTATTGGAAGCATTCATTCACTCCTTGTACCTTTGTAGCCACCTCGACAGTAATTGTACATAACTACAAAGTAAGGAATTATTGGCCAGGGAATTCAAGGCATCAACCCTGGGAAGGGCTTTAACAAACCAGCCTTTCACTATGTCAGTTTTCCTCCCTCTTTTCTATGACCTAGCTTTTCTGTGCTTAGACCACAAGGTATACTTTCCTATGTCCACTGTGAGTCCCAACAGCGGAGTGATTGCATAGCCCCACAAAGCTGAAGAATTGCTGAGAGTGAAATTCTGAGAACTGGTATAGTCTTGGCTGGACTGGCGTTCAATTGTGTTCTACTCAGGAATTACTTGTTTGAAAAGGAAAATTAGAAGTAAGATATACCCTAATCTGCTCTGTTGGCATTGTTAAGTTAAAAGAGAGGACAACACAAGAAAAAAAGAAAAAGAACCCTGGTTCCCTACTTTAAAGCATGTGTTCAAATCACTCTCTTTTTAAACAGAATGCTTAAAAGGGAACTGTGCTCCTGAGACTCCGTGGCTTCAGAGCGCGCTGATGACATTACAGTTTCACTGGGCAAGGCTTCAGAAATTCATTTGCACTTGAACAAAGTTGTCTTTTAAATGAAAAATTAAAGATAGTTAATTGAGGAATGAAACTGCAGTTGGCAAAAGCCTAATAACTACTGTGCCTCAGACATTATTTTAGGAGAAGGTGACCTGGCTGGATTGGTTCCAAATGAAATGCAGGGTGAGGATGGCAACATGCCCGACATCTCCAAAGCTGTAAGTCTTTGGAAACAGTTTTACTCTCTTTGTTGTTTTAGAAATTAGATTCCAGGACAGCTTCAGGGTTGAGAGGAGAATTGGATCCCTCTCTCATGTAATAAAATCATAAAAGGCGTGGTGATATGGTAGATTAAATACTATGGCAAGATGTTAAAGACAGTATTTAAGAAAGGGAACATTTGTTGTCTTGGAGGAAAAAGGGTGTAAGGCTTGGTAGGCAAACTCTTGGATATAAAGCTAATTTAAATGGGATAAATTGAGAAAGATGTGAGTTGTGGCTCAGCTTTACACTAGGAGCCAGCACAATAAGAACCTGGGATACAGATCCTCAACAGAAACAAGCCATTACAGCACCTGCTAGTATGTGGTCTGTACAAGGACCAGGTCTTCATGGAACAACTGTAAAATGGTATGAGGGAAATGCCATAAGACATGAAGCAGACAGCGACTCAAGCAGAGATGTTACTCTGAAATGAAGTGTGTCACTTATGACATGGGAGGGAGAACTGTGCTTTGATCGTGGTCCTTAGTCTTTATAAGCCAAAGAGAATGCAGTGGAGCCAGGGGTGGGTTCTCAAGGAATGGGCTTTTGAATTGTACGTAGGGAAGCTGGAAGGAGGAATTTTTATTTTTTTTCAGCAACATCCGTACACTGACTTTTCTTTACGCAGGTGAAAAGGTGGTTTGCAGATATATTTGGTTAAAGCAGATTCTCTTTGACTGACATAAATGCACATTTATACCAAAATACAGTCTATGTACTATTTTGTCATATGCAGGATTTATGAACCATATTCATGTATGTGCTTTACTTTTTATACAAATATGTATATATGGCTCATATAAATCCCGAATTCCTAAATAAATAAGAATCACAAAGTAGTGAGAGTTAAGATTTTCACTTCCTTGATCATGGGGTACTTGAAACCCCTGTGAGGTTGACTGGAGACTAAACATGCTACATGGAGATGTGCTATATCTGCTGACGTTTCTACGTTTCTTCCACCGAAGTTCTGAATCTGAGCTCAATCCTTGATTGATAACTTGACCTTACCCTGTTGAGTTGGTGTTATGTGTGCATTCTCTCTCTCTCTCTCTCTCTCTCTCTCTCTCTCTCTCTCTCTCATCTCCCAGTGTCTACCTAGCCTGAAGACCTATATGTGTTCTAATCTTTCTAGAACTATGCGGGTATGCAAAGGGAAAGGCATATTTTCTTTGAACTCAGCAAATTTCTAGGCCCTTAACTGTTCTTCTCATGATCAAATCTTATCCCACCTAATTGTCTCAAGATTATTGACTTATTTGCAATGAAAGTAGAATTTGAGAGCCAGGACAGCTGGCCTTGCACCAACCTTGGAAAGGGCTTCAACAAACCAGCCTTTTACACTATCAATTTTTCTCCTTTTTTCTATGATGTAGCTTTCCTGGCTTGGACCAAATCTCCACCTTTGAATGACTCTGACTTTGTTAGAGTTAGTCAAGTTCAAAGAGTCTCTTACCAGATGCCAGAAGATCATTGATGAGCACCAGGAACCTCTCATCAGCCACATGGGCATCGGTCATGAGAAACACTGTGCTGAGATTTTTCACTCCAGCTTTCAGACACAAGTTGGCCAGGTCCACCTGTAAGAACATCAATATCAAAGGTCCCTGAGAAGAAGGTCTTCTCAAAAGAGATGTGCAATCTACTCTTCAGGAACAGAATCATTCTTGTGTCTGCTTCAGTGGAAATAAAGCAAGATGACAGTGAGAGGCAGGGAGAAGTGATACTTTCAGCATCAGGCAGGGAAATGCCCCATTTCTGGGTATCAGTGCCGATGGAGGTGGACAGTTAAAATCACATAGTGAGATCCTCAGTTCACACAAGCATGGTGGCTCTGCACTGCTTCAGAGCTCCTGGTCTTTGCAGAAAGGGAAGTGAGGTAGTTCTTTCTGAAGGACATCTGTTTTACTTCTATCATCACACAGAAGAATGACCTGCTCCAGAAGGCTCTTGGTCTTGATAGAAGAGTCATGTACTTGGGGATACTTGCATGGGGATGAATGTATCTCATACCAGCAATATCTTATGTTCTTATGAATAGTTCCAGCAAGAGTTTTGTAGAATAAAAATATATTGGAGAACACAGATATATACACAAACACAAAGTCACCTACAGGAAATCCATTCCAAGCTGCAGATGAAGGCAATCTGGGGCTAAGAGGCAAAGCCCTGAGTTTACCTAGGTCAATTGGTCCTGGTTCCTTTGTATAGAACTCTTAGGAGTTCTATGTTGTAACCTACCTCACTCCATTCTTTCTAGCTCCTCTGAGAACTCACTTCCTAACAGCATCATATGTTCTTTTATGACAGAACTTCTTAGAGTTCAAATGACACCTCTTGAAAGGCAATCTACTTCTTTTTCGGTTAACGATTCTTACCCTATCCTTTTAGAGAATGATCTAAGACAGCATTTCTCAGTCTCATTTCAGTCCTCTACAGGATGCTTTGAGAAGCCCTGATGCCCAGGTGGTTTTCCACACTGGTTGAATCTGAACAGCCGGGGGTGAGATGCAGACCCCAGCGTTGTTGGAAGAGCCCCAGAGAGTCCAGCATGCAGCCAAGGTTTTGTCTTACATCATTCTGTAAATGAATATTTCTCATCTCACTATCTTATCTCCTTTGGAAGCACCAAAAAAAGACTAAATATGAACCTGGTGTAAGAACTTGGATGTAGCCAGTGTTGACAAGCTGAAGGCAGATCCTGATGGAAATTACACCATGATTTCCTGCTATAACTTGGTTGTGGCCATGGATAAGAGAGACAGCAGGATAAGTAACCTTTGAAAGTTATATATAATGCCTTTCTTCACTGTCCAGAGCATATATCATGGCTTCTAAGTACCTATTGCCTGAAACCAGGAAATGTCATAGAAAGTTCCAGAAGCAGTGGTTATTCCCTGTCTTTTAAAATATGAAGCTCTTTCAAGACTTGGGCAGACTGTCAGAATCTCTCCCAGTCAACTAGAGCTGCTAGTAAGCTGTGTGCTGAATTTGACACAGATTGGACAAGAGCTGAAGTACACTGATATAAAAGGGCAGCTGAGGTCTCACTGAAGCTGACCCTGGAAAGGCCACTGTCCTCAGGCTGAGTCTAATGAGAAAGGAGTCCCTCATGTCACCAGCCCTGGAACTCAGGAGAAAATAGACAATTAAGGGGAAGTTCTGAGCAGGGGATGTGCAGAATTAAAGAAGGATGACAGCGGTTGTGGGTGGCTGGAGAGAGGCTGGGTGTTCTCCCACTGTGGTCAACCTTACCTTGAAGTCAGGGATCTGGTAGCCTTTGCGCAGAGTGATCTGGAACACGTCCATGGAGCTGATAAAAGCTGCCAGTCTCGTCAGACTCTGCTTGCCGCTCCCACCAACACCAACCAGCAGGGCATTTCCTCGTGGGGACTCCAAGATGCGGTTGATGTGGCAGCTGAAGAAGGGCAAGCAGAGGCATGGCACCTTGGCCAGACTGTGCCCGGTGAACAGCACAGGGTGGAAGGGCCAGAGAGGGAACAGGCATCTCTCTCGGAGGCATGACTGAATTCTGGGAAACTTTAATACTGTCCCCAAACCTGACTTCACCTTCTTGCCCAGGTACACTGAACCTGTGATTACTTTGCTTTAAGATCAGAGCCCCTGGTGAACCGGCGAGTCAGGGAAAAGCCCAGGGCAGGCAGGCAGGCCTGGCAGCATTACGGTGGGGCTGGAGAAGGACCTAGGGTAGTTTCCTTCTTCTCCCTCGCCGAGCTGGCTTCACCCCATTCCCCGCTTTCTCCTTTCCATCTATTTGTGCCTTTGGGCAAAAGAGGGAACAGGAAAAAGAAGAAAAGTAGAAAGCATGTTTTAGAGAAAATCAGGGAAGGCTAGAGGAGAAGGCAGGAATAGAACAGCTTGCTCCTCTTAGGAAAGAAGAAGAAAGTGAAAGCCAGCAGGAGAGGAGCAGAGAATTGGTCTTCCTCTAATCCTTCCTGGGTGCTGATGTTCTTGCAATGGATACTTGCAGGTTCTTAAAGTCAGCTCTCAAGGCACTCACTTCCTTGGTTTCCGTGTTTGTTCCCTCACAGCCTGCCTTCTTACCACTCCAAATACTCACTTTCCCACCCCAGCAATAGGGGGACATTCTAGGCCTCTTCTGGGCTTAGACCCTCCTCAAAGGAAGCCGCCCTTGCCTCACAATGCTTTCCTCAAATGACACCCTCCATCTAGCTGTCTACAGCTTCCCCCAGGACATCCTGCCAACCTTCCTTTAAGCTCCCTCAGCAGTGGCTCTTAGACACAGTGCCATGTGATTTATAAAAACAATTGCTATTCATTATACCAAATATATAAAATACAAAAAAACCCATGACTCTACTGTTTAGCAATAAATCCTTTTGATATTAACTATATGACCTTCTAGATTATTTTTCTAGGGTGTATCTGAGAATATATTTATATGTGTATACATTTATTACACCTGAAGAGTCGATGTATTTCTATCCTATAAATTTAAAAGTTTGAGTGCAGTGTACATATCAAGCATGGTATTTCTGTTTCCACCCCTGGGGATCAAACCCATGTCCTCATAGATGCTAAGCTGCACTCTACTACTGAGCCACATTCTATTCATGGAGTGTAGTGTTTTGAGACCAGTTTTTCACTTAGCAACAGACTGTGATGACTTCCCTAGGCCACTAAACAATCTGCTAAGCCTTTGATGCCTTTGATAGTGTAACAATATTGTGTAGAATATTGTACTGATAACAAAAATAGAATAAGTTCCCTGTCTGAAATAATCTATCATTGGATACTTAGGCTGTTCCCAATATTTCCAGTCATAAAAATGCAAAATGATGCTTTCATTTATGTCTCTAATCATTTCCTTGGGATAAGATTGCTAGAAGTAAAATTCTGAGTCAAACAGCAAGGCATTTTTTTATGGCTCTGGATATGTAATGAAAAATAAAAGCCCCTCAGAATGGTGGCACCCATCTATGCTCTTCTTGGATAGAACTGATCTAACCATTCAGTTATACCAGAGGATAGGAACACACTGGGCTGTTTTCACTGAGTTATAATCTAAGTCAGTGAATACTGGTGGTGGTGATCTTGGTACAAACAGAATGTGAGACTAGAATTTTGGTGTTGTAGTTCTGGTCAGGTCAAGCAGAGGATACACTTAAGACTGAATTACACACACTATACTCCTGTATCCCTGCCCTGTGTCGATGATGCTGCAATAGAAATTCCATATTAAAAGTAATGGAGAAAAAAAATAATGGAGTAACTTAAGGTCTGCTAAACTTGGCTTGGAGGCAGGGCTAAGGAGTGGTTTTGGCAGGTGGGGTTTGATGTGTGTTAGTTTCTTTTCTGTTGCTCTGATAGAAACACCATGACCAAGGGAATTTATAAAAGGAAGAGATTTTTAGCTTATGGTTCCAAAGGGGCAAGAGTCCATCATGGCGGGGAGGCATGGCGGCAGAGGTGGCTGGGGTAGGAGCTAAGTGCTCATATCTTCAAGCAGGCACAGGAAGCACAGAGCGACTGGAGATCCAGCAAGGCTTAAGAATTCTCTAAGCCCACCCCCAGTGACATGCTTCCTCCAGCATGGCCACACCTTCTAAGACCTCCCAAAACAGAGCCACCAATTGGGGACAAAATGTCCAAATATCAGAGCATATGGGGGAACATTCTCATTCAAACTACTACAACAAACAAAATATGAGTGTATGTGAAGTTACATGGTTCATACTGAGATTCTATGGTATGGATTTTCTTACTACATGTAAAGATGGCATAAATAATAATAATAATAATAAGACAATATTAATCAGCATAAAAACTATTTATGGATATTCACTGCCTCATCTCCTGTGGGGTGAGTCTGCTGTTGAGAAGAAAACCTTGTTGTGAGTTTTTTATATCAATGGCCCCACCAGCAGCATGAGGGGGTATGGACCCCATTCACATTTATATTACACACACACACACACACACAAACACACACACACACACACACACACACACATACACACACACATCGATCTTTAACAGTTTTAATTGCTAAGATACTACAGTTTTAATTTTCATTTATCTGATTTTTGTGGGAATTGAACATTTTTCATGTTTATTAATAATTTTAGGGTTTTCATTAGTGAATTTTCTATTCATGTTTTTTTCAGTTAAGATGTGCTTCTAGTGGCTGGAGAGATGGCTCAACAGTTAAGAACACTGGCTGCTCTTGCAGAGGACCTGGATCCGGTTACCAGTACCCACATGGTAACTAATGACAGCCTGTAACTTCAGTTCCAGGGGAATCTGATGCCCTTTTCTGGCCTCTATGGGCATTGCACAATATGTACGTTCAATACAGGTAAACTTACATACATGCAGGCAAAACACTAATACACATAAAAAATAAAAATAATAAATAAAATATTTTTTAAAAAGACCCCAAATTAAACATAATGATGTACTAAATAATAGTGAACTGCATAAATAAGTTTATTATTCACTATCTGGGTATGCTACTTGATGAACCGACAGGATTTTCTTAGAGACCTTCTTATTATGTTTCCCCTGGGGTACAAAATTCTTCTAAACCCAGTTTCTGGGGTACTTTTGAACTTTCTGCTCAGGTAAACCTTGTAAAAATAAAGCAATTTATGAATAAAAATTGCATAACTACTTGTGATGGCACTTATAACACATTTACACATTCACTTCTAAAATAACATGTATATTATAAAAATTTATATAGTGCATTTGGGAGTTCTTTTATTTTTACCTTGCGACAAATCTATGGTATCTTGGACTTTGTAATCTGTGTGTGTATGCATGTGCATGATGTGTGTGTGTGTGTGTGTGTGTGTGTACACATGCACATTTGTTTTTGTGAATGCAGCTGCACATGTGCCACAGCACATATGTATGTAGAGGTCAGAGGGCAACCTTGGGTGTCTGTCCTCATTTTCTACCTTGTTTGAGGCAAGGTCTCTTATTATTGTTTTCCGCTGTGTGTGTCACTACCCATCTCTCCATAAGAGTGCTGGGATTACAAAGGCTCACACTACTGTGCCCAGCTTTTCTATGGGCTCTGGGTGCTCACACCTGCTGTGGCAAGAACGTTGCCCAATCAGCTGTCTCCTCAGCCCTGGTTTGTTTTTTAAATAGTTAATCGTGATTTACATCTCCATAGGTTAATAGATTTATAAGACTATTAATAGATTTACAAAACTGTTAAGGTCAAGAATTTAAAACCTATTCTCTATCCTCTAATCACAGCAGATTTCTACTTCTACTAGACTTCTTTCTAAACTAGAAGGACCTGGATGCTACCCTCATCGTCATCTCACTTGCCTTTACTACTGGGCTCTTTATTCACCAGACATTATATTTAGGAATATGCTTCCTCTATGATGGTGGAATTAAAGTGTGAAAGGGAGCCTTGTCCACTTTTGCCCTCCTGTGCTTTCAGCAGCAAGCCACTAATGTCCCTGGACCCTATACCTCATCTGTTAGGGAAGGAGTTGGACTGCATGACTTCTAAGATTCCTCTAGCTTTATAATTTGGATGATATAATTGCATTTGGAAGATCTCCTGAAAAGATGTTCTCTGAGTCTGAGAAGGCTGTCCTAATTTGACCACAGATGTTATGATATGGAAAGACCTCTTTTAGGAAACTCCCTGTGCTGGATAGCTTTAGTGTCAACTTGACACACCTGGGTTGAGGGATCCTCAGTTGGGGAACTGCCTTCATTGGACTGCCCTGTGGTCATGTCCACGGGGCACCCTCTTGATTGCTGAGTGATGTGGGAGGGCCCAGCCCACTGTAGGTGGTGCCACCCCTGGGCAGGAGGGCCTGTGTTGCATAAGAAAGCAGGCTGAGCAGGGGCCAGGGGAGCAAGTCAGTAAGCAGCATTCCTCCATGGCCTGTGCTTCAGCTCCTGCCTCCAGGTTCCTGCCCCGAGTTCCTACCTTGGCCTCCCTGATGAACTGTGACCTGGGAAATCTAAGACAAAATAAATCCTCTCCCCCCAAAAAAAGACATGCTTCTAAATTTGTAAAATCCCTCATGGACATTTTCAGTTCCTCTCAATTGTTCACTTTTACTCTTCAGTTTTCCTTAAAACGCTTTGGAATGACAGAAAATTTTAGGACTCAGAACTGTATCTCACTGAATCCTACATACTTAAAACTCACCCGCCTAAAAATTCAGAGGTTATTTACTGGCTTACATTTAGTCCTTTTATTAGTTTACTTTTTCACTCCAGTCATTTAACTGTGAAACCTATACTCTGTCATTATCAACTAGATTTAGCCTTTTCTTGCTCTCTTATTAAATTATCACTTCCGCATGTCTGAGGAGTGTGTGTATCATTCTGTACCCATCACAGAGCGAGCACATTAAAGCTCTCCAATACAACTTTATTAAGTTGAAACAAAACAAC